AAAAAAAAAAAAAAAAAAAAAAAAAAAGAATCCTCACACTCTAATCTGCCCCCATGGCCACCGTGTGTCCTATCTGACCAGAGCATTCTTTCCTCCATAGACATCTCAATGGGTTGACAGGAATTAGGCTCCATCTGTTCAAGGGAAGAATGTTGCAGCCTTCTGGTCATATCTTAAAATCACAATACTGAAAGGGCCAGAGAGCTCACAGAATGGCAGAAGTCCCAGGAGGCAGCTGTAATGGGAGCAGGTCAGCCCGGTTCATCTCCATCTGTCAGGACTGACACAGCATGTGACAGTGGACAGTGCCTAGAATGTGGGTGCAGACCCCAGGGCATGTGACTATAGATGTAAAATTCTAACTATAATCTTCACAGGTCTAAAGGATTGAGATATTAAAGGAAGGATACATCCTGACCAAGTAGGAAGCATTCCAGAAAGCAGCGGAGGCTCACCAGTCTGTGGGGACTAAATATCACATCAACGTTTAAAGAGAAAAGTCAGAGATGATATCAGTAGATTATAGAAAGCTAGCAAATAAAAACCAACAGCCACTATTGGTTGTTGACGTCTGAGTAGAAATAAACTAAATATTATTTTTTAACTATTTAGGGAAAAAATCAACAGCAAATATCTTAGGGGATCATGAAATACTGAAGCCATTTTCATGATAATCAGGAGGAAAACAACACAGGTATCTGCTATCATCCCTGATTTCAGAAATGTTTTGGTAATTTTAACTAACGCAATCAGACAAAATAAAAGAACCATTAAACAGATTTTAAAAACGAAATTATCTTCATTTATGGTAAAGTGCATTCTAAGTATATTATCATATACTTGAAAACTCAAAAGATTCTATAAAATGAATCTAGAATGTTGGCTGACTATGAGATGCAGTGGCAAATCCTTTCCTCTCCGTAAGCAAAACAGCTGCAGAAAATGGGAAATGTAAATATCAGGAGGCCCATCTGGAGCACTAAGTGACTCATTTGTCTTCATAACCAGGAGCCCAAAGTGTGGGTGTCAGGGCCATGGAGCTTTGAGCTCCTTCTGGGCATTTTTGGCATCAGGAAGATGAAAGCTGTCACAGCAGACAAGCCTGGAACCACAATCCCTAGGCACAGCTCCCCTGGAGCCCTGGGCAGCCCTGTGTCCTCTCTAAGATTCAGCTCTCGGGTGCTTCTGAGAAATAAGTGAGCTCAGTACAGGAGCCAGCACCAGGGCTGGCAATGGCTCCGCACTGTCACCCTGGCCGGCTGGCATCAGAAAGCAGAGGCCCAGAGCCGCCCTCCCTGCCTCCTGGAGGGTCCTGAGATGGGGCCAGGCTGCCCCTGGGAGCAGGTCCCGAGAGGAACATTCCAAGGGGAAGCAAGCTCAGAGCCTGGGGGTACTTGCTGTCATCCACGACAGGGGCCTCCTGTGCAGGGGAGGAGAGTGAGGGATGGTCAGGGGTGTGGCTACACCAGGCGGGGACTCAGTCCCCAGCAGAGGAAGAGCAAGAGGCCTGAGCTGGGAGTGGCCTGGTCAGTGTCTATTTAACAGGGTGAGAGGCAGGTAAGAGGGGGAGGGGTCTGGGACCTGGAGGAGCCCTCCGGTCTGACCAGCAGCAGTGGGCCATCCTGGGCGGTACCATTGCTGGGACTGCTGGGCACAGCCAGTGCCGTGGGTACCACAGGCTAGCTGGGCTCTGGTGACCCTCCTGGCTATGGAAACAACCAGGAGAAGCAGCTTTCTGCAGGAAATCCTTCCTTTCCAGCCAGAAGTGCTGACCTTTTGATGACTGCTGTTCATGGCCATGAGTCTATCTGCTCTGAGCTCGCTCCTCTTTTTGGCCCTGCCCTACAAAGTGGAAGGAGCAGGGCAAGATGTTCTCATGGGAATAAAGATCGACCTGGAAGTGAGCTGCGCCTTCACAGACCACATCACCTTCTGGGAGCACTATGACATCGTGAGGCTTCTGGGGGAGAGGCGGGGGTCCCAAGGGAAAAGGGGGAATCTGGAGGGATGGGGAGTCCCGGCCTCCTTCACAGACCACATCACCTTCTGGGAGCACTATGACATCGTGAGGCTTCTGGGGGAGAGGTGGGGGTCCCAGGGGAAAAGGGGGAATCTGGAGGGATGGGGAGTCCCGGCCCAGGAATATGAGGAGATCCCAGGCCAGATTGCAGTGGTCCCAGAGGAAGGAGGTGACAAAGGGACAGGCAGTAGGAAATGAGCCACCTGGCTACAGCCTGAATGGTGCAAGAGAGAGTTGCCGAGGTGAGGCCGGGGGCCAGGCCTGAGGGACTGGGAGTGCCTGGGAGTGCCCCTGCCTCAAACAGACCCCTGCAGGGGGAAAGAGGGGGAGAGGGCTTAGGAAGGGTGAGCCTAGAAAGGGCATGTTTCATTGTCAGGATGTATTAGCCAAAATGAACCTTCCAGCATTGGCATGAAACAAACAAAAGCCTCCACCTTCCCTTCCCTAGGCAGCAGGCCTTATTCCACGTGTTCTCAGCCCATCCCGTGTGCACACAGCAAGTATTCTCAGGAAATGATATTTCCAGGCCGAATTCTCATATTCACCAGCTTGGGTGTTGCTGCATCTTTAAAATTCAGTGTTCATGACCACCCAGGGCATACCAGTGAGGACACAGGCTCAGTGCTGTCGCAGAGGTCCAAGCAAGGACAGGGGGTCTCCAATCAAAAATTGAGATGGAATGGGGTGGGGGTTCAGGCTCCTGGTCTCCACTGGAAGTGACTGCCACTTTTCAGAACAAGAACTAACAACTTTCTCCTGCAGTTGTCCCCAAACCACACGAGCTTGGCAGTGTTGCATGATGTCTCTCTCTGGAAAAGTATTTTTTGAGTTAGTGAAGTGTCTAATGGACATAGCTGCTATCATAAAACAAGTATGGATTCTGAAGATGCTGTATCATTCAGCAGAAACTTGCCAGGGATTGAAGTTCCCATTTGCCTAAACCACATAAGCCTGCAGCGGACTGAGAGGTCATTCTCAAAGAGGCTGCTCCTTGCTCTGCCCTCGTTTTCCAGACCATTCCTTCCAGAGAAAGCAGCTGTGCAGCGGGGCCTTTCTTTCTGTTGGGTCCCATCTTTCTCAGTTAAAACCAAACTGAACTTCAATTAGATCAAAGATAGCCTTGTCACTGCAAACACTTCTATTCATGGCTTGATTCTTCTATTTCAACTATTTTACTACCCATTAAAGACTTAAATATATGAAAAACAAATTATGTGATCTTCAGAGAAAAATAAAGGATAATATCATCATCTTGTGATAGAATTTATTAAACTAGACAGAACAATGCAAACCATAACAGAAATGACTGATAAATTCAAGTGTATCACAATTGAGAACTTCTGCCCATCAGCAGGCACCATATCAAAAAGCAAGCCCAGACTGGACTAGGGTATTTACAATGCATCTGACAAGGGTTTCATTTCCAGCATATACAAGGAAATCTTGCAAATCAATAAGTACAATACAAACCCAAGAGAAAAAGAAAGAGACTCAAATGCCCAATAAACATACGGAAAGATGACCAAGCCCTTGAATTACTAGAGAGAAATGAATTCAAAGCAGAAGAGACCCTTTCACACCCACCAGGTTGGCAGACAGTCGCCGTCTGATGCCATCTGGTGCTGACAAGGATGTGTGGCAAGGGACACCTGCAGGCATCTGCTCCAGGCAGGAGCATTAGCAGGGCTGATGGGGGCTGCCCAGGATGGCGACCCTCCTGCATGCCTGCAGAGGCATTGGACACTGTGCACAGGAGCTCAGCAACACAGGCTGTGGCAGCATGTGATGGAAGCCATCCAAATGTCCCCCAGATGTTGAACAGGCATAGATGCCACAGTGTACTGACATAAGCAGATACAGAGCAGCAGGAAAGATGAAGGATGACAGCTGTGCACAAGGCTGAGGACTCTCAGGAACAAAAGGCGTACGGGCAGCAGATCGCAGGATAATACAGATAGCACCAAAAGGCGTACGGGCAGCAGATCGCAGGATCCCATTAAATAAAGTTCAAAAACATGTGAAACTCAGCAACATACTCTAGGGATGTAAATACTCATAGGTAAAACTATGAAGAAAAGTGAGAAGTGATAAATACATAGTTCAGGCAAGGAGGGATGAGGACAGGATGGGAAAGGCTGAATGACCAGGGTGTCCCTATCACCGATCTATAACCTGCTATATATGGGCTCTGTGTATCTGAACCACAGGCACATGCATTGCATACTCAATATCCCTGAGACATGTGTGTAAACATAAAGTCGATGAAGAAGCTCACAATGTCCCCTGCATGAGGCCTCTGACAGCTCCCTCTGCACGTGGAAGGAGCAAATGCCTGACAGGACTGCCCGCCACACTGGCCTGGCCACCCCGGACAAAGTCATTCAAGTCTCCCCATGACTGCCTCCTTTAAGTCCAACTAAATGTCACCTCCCTGGGCCAAGCCCGTGGCGCACTTGGGAGAGTGCGGCGCTGGGAGCGCAGCAGCGCTCCCCCCCCCCCCCCACGGGTTCGGATCCTATATAGGGATGACTGGTGCGCTCACAGCACTCACTGGCTGAGCGCAGTGCGGCCGGTCTCAAAAAGGACAAAAAAATAAATAAATAAAAAATAAATGTCACCTCCCTGAGGGGCCTCCATCACCTCCTCAGCTCCAGCAGCCCATCCCCCCTGGGCCCAGTCAGATCTAGCTTCTGTCTTCTCATTTCCTTCTATCAGGTAAGTAAGGTCATCTCAGTAACATCTTCCCAACAGAACGTGGGACCCCGAGGGCATGGGGCTCACCTGTTTTCCCCTGACACCTAGTGTGGAGTATACTATAAAGCAAATATACTTCACGGCCTGGTTTTCCAAAGCCTTGCAGTTTCAAATATTGACCTTACAAAAAACAGGAAATTTTCCCCAGGGTATTGAGTCTCTGTTGTAAGATAAAGAGTTGTAACACGGCAAGGCTGCTGGCTCAAAGACAGACACGTTACTGATTGATATGTAAAGATACTGGGAAATTGCTGTAAGAAGGAATGTTTGCTAATATCAAGCTTTTGTTGTTGGATCACTTATTTGCCTTAATGGAATGTCATCTGACTTGTTTTTACTGAATGTTACCAGCTTCTGTTGTTAAACTTGTTAAAACTTTAACCTCACCTATGTCTCTTCTGTAACTTCCTGGGCTGGAGAATAAATGCAGGAAGAGAACCCCAATTCAGGGTTAATTTCCCAAATGAAAGGAATGCCTCATCTCTTGAGGGTTTGGGGAAATTAACCACTTTGGGGCTTCTCACTGCTCAGGAGAGATGGGCTTTGAGTAATCCTTTGTGGCTCCGTCACCCAGGGGAAGAGAGGTGACAAATCCGTGGGGGGCAAAGCAACAACCTAGAATGCTACCTGACACACAGCAGACTCTAGATGAATGCCCCCGGCAGGAAGGAGGAGAGGAAGGCTGGAGTGGGACAGCAGGCCAGCCAGGCATTCCCAGTGGGAAGGAAGATGGGGAAAGGGGCCTGTACTAGAGGATGGCACCTGGGCCCCAACACCAACACCCCAGGCCATGGCAGAGACACTAGTGGCAATGGCATGGTGAGGAAGGAAAGTGCCATGACCTTCTCACCATGACTGTCTGGACCCTTGTACTCCTTGATGCCACTGCTGTCTGTAATCCCAGCACAGGTGAGGCAGGTGCCTGCCACCCTCCTGAGTACGTGCCGCTCCCACTCTGCTAGGGAGGCACAGGGCTGAGGTGTGGAAGACAATCCCAGGGTACTAGGGGTTGACAAGGAGCTAGCAATAGTCTCTCACCCAGCCTCATTCTTTGAACAGGTGGCGCTGGGGATCCAAGCCCTGGCCAAGAGCCAGGGAGGGCTGTAAGGGAAGATGCTGGAGCCCAGCCCTCAGGGGAGTGGCAGAGGTGGAGTCCCTGCCTGCAGCAGCTGCTAGCCTGAGACTGAGGCCTGGCCCAGGACAGAAAGAAGAAAGCAAAGAGCTCAGGGACCCCAAATTTAATCCCCTACCCCACTCCTAGGCAGCTGCTCATGGAGGCTGCCCTGACCCACATGCTGGGAGCAAGATTTGGTGGCAGAGACATTGGCCCAATGGGCCTGGCAGCCTGGAGCCAGGGGTGCCTTCTGGGGCCAGATCCACAGCCCAAGCTGACAGCAGAGAGGAGAGCAGAGGAGGTGACCATGGTAGTCAGATGGCCACAAGGACCAAAGGGAGACCAGCCTGCAGCTGGGGATTAGGTGGGGAGAGGAAACTCAGTGAACTGGAAAGAGCAGGGCTTGGCTCTGAGAAATATCTAGAAATAGATCTCAGCTCTACCCTGCACCAGCAGCACGGCCATGGAAAGTCATTTACCACCCCACGGGCCTAGTTTCCTCTTCTGTGCACTGTGCAAAGTGCCACCTGCTCCACCCAGTCATCAGGAAGACCAGTCAAGATCATTCATCCACTCAGCCATTCCCCAAATACCCTGAGTGCCACCGACCAGCAGCTTAGTACTCTCAATGCTAGCTCCGTGGCCAGCATGAATCCAAGGCAGCCTCTCCTGATCCTTCCTCTCCTGGGCCAGAATCGCCCCCAGCTCAGGGCTCAGCAGTCTCTTGTGGTGGTTTCTGGTCACAGGCAACATTTCTCAGAGGAACAGAACTGTCTGCCCACCAGCAGCATGACATGGCAAAGTCCCCTCCCATTGCCATCTTCCACACCTCCCCCACCCCTGCTGCCAACTGTTGTCATTACCTAGGGGCTCATAGCTTTGTCTGGAGGGTCCCCCAAAAGGACCATGGCTCCTCAGGTCATCTCTGCCAGTGATGGGTCCATTAGATATCTTCTTACAGAGGGTGGGATCAGCGGCCTCTCTGCTGAGCTGGAGGAAATAAGAAAACAGGGAGGGGGGAGAAGAAGAGCAGGGGTTAAAGCTCAGATTCAGGGTGCACTGGAATCACGTGCCCACCTTGGGCCCTAAGAGCCTGGCTCCACTAAGCCTGGCTCCACTAAGCCCAGTTCCAAGGCCACCCCAGGCGACCCCCACCAAGCCACTTCTAGGTGGCCTCCTGCTCCACTGCTCACAGTG